ATTAATTCAACATTACTCTAATTAATTATTAAGATAAAATTGACCTCTATACATCTCATAAAACTCCTTAATTGAAAAAAAAAAAAAACCCTATATATTTATTTTGTCAAATACTATCCAAATTATTTTTTGCACCAAACTTCATCTACTAAATAATAACCATTTATATTCATATATTGCTTGTTAAAGACAAAGTCATTTAAGACCAAATTGAATTGCTTTAAACCAACTTCAAACTTCATTTAAATTTGTTTTTGCACACGGGCAAGGAGGGTTGCATTGCACATAGGGGATTATGGCCAATATTGATGAGTAACGTTTGGGAGAGATTTAGGTTAGTAAATCATTAGTGCTTACATTATGTAAATGTTCTTCCTCAACATTAATTTTGTATGGAATGAATTACCCAAATAATTTCATATTTGTAATACATTGAAGTCAATCACCATAAGTTTGTGCTATTAAGTAAAGAGTTTGAAGTATAATCATGAGGCAACAAGCTATAAATAGATGAAGATACAATGCTTGCGGCTTAGAAGAGTCAAAATTCTTTAAAACTAAAGCTCTAGCAATAGTGCCCAAGCGAACAATAGTGAGTCAAGGGGGCAGAAAGAAAATAATGAGTTTGGGAGGTTGTAATGCTTTGTTCATAATCAATGATATATCTTTATCATAAGGAAAAACATATCTAGAGATAATGATCATTGTTGCCTTGAAGTGCAGGGCCAAACTTAGTTTGACAAGCTAAACTTGAGCTTAAATTAGGCTTAAACTTGTTCATATAACTTACTAAATATATCAATTTCAATAAATTCTACAAATATCAGAGTTTATATCTCATTAGGAGTATTTTGATCTAAAAGTATTTTGAAGTATATTTACACAATAAAAATATAATGAGACTATTTGTTTAAATATCCGTGTTGTAGTACATAAGAAGTCAAATTTCATTGGTGAAATTGCACTCACTTAAATTTTCTCTACCAATTTAAATAATTTTCCTTATATATTTTTAATTTTGCTCCTTTTTAAATAGCTTTGACATGAGTACAATATTTGTTGGTTTTTATTCATAATCAAAGTGATATAAGTAGAGGATGTAAGTATTACATTCACATTATTTATGCTCAAGAAAAAATAGAATTATTCTATGTTAAAGTATTCATAATATAAAAGAGAGTTTATAGCGTGAATATTATATAAAGACCACCCACATACATATATAAAACGAATTAAAGAAGAATTCCTAGGAGACATGAAATTATTTATTTAAAAAATCAAACAAAAAAATCACAGGGCATAGCCTAATTAAAATTGTTCTACAAATATGAGCTATAGTCATAAAAAAAGACTTTTCTTGTACTTGGAGAAAACATTGATACAATATAATAAATGTAATATGCATGAGTTATAGAAAATGACTTCAATCATAAAAGTAAAATAATCTTTAAAATATTGTAATTGTCATCAAGAGATTATTTAGGGTCCGTTTGGGGCAGCTTATTTGGCGCGGTGACGCTTTGAAAACGCATCTGACTTGTTTGGGTAAACTACATTTTGGCAGCTTATGTATTTTCAAAACGCTGAAAACAGTGTTTTCACACCGCACATTTCTAGGTGCAGTGACAGTTTTCTGGCTACAGTCAGAATTTTCCAAAAAAATAAAAAAATTGTAATAGCCACCGCACCTAGCTTATCAGCAGATTATTTTTAATCAGCTTATCAACAGATTATTCAATAAGCTACAGTTGCCCCAAACAGACCCTTAAAGTGGGTTTATTTTTCTAATTCCATCAATTATATGACATAATAAGTTAATTTTTTCCATATTAGTATTCTAAATACTCAAAATGTAGACATGCAAATGAAATTGCATGAATGAATTGTAAATACAAATAGGTTTTAGGTTAATTTATGAGATTTATATCTAGATAATAGTTTATCTATATAATAGATTGGAGACATTATATTTATTTTAGTATGTTCGTTAGTTTGGGACTAAATTCACTGGAGGTTGAAAAAATGGAGATTAAATGGGCTGGCGTGGAAGAATATTTGGCCTAGTAGTTAAAGAGATCATTTTTTCAAGGTTATGAATACTCTATAATTAACTTATAAACATAAAAGAAAGGTCGGCTGGTGTGTTCCTTTTTTATGAAGAAAATAAAATTTAGAAACAAGCAAGTTTTGTTAACATATTTACCTCAAAATTTTAATGTATTTACATATAAATATCTAAATTTAATTTTTATATTTATAAAATTTAAGGATTTAGTATGATGTAAAGATGCAAATTTACT